TCAAGACATGTTGGGCGACCATCTGCTTGCGGTCATTTTGATGGAACCAAAGTGAGCAGTATTTGTTTCCGCGCAGTGGCTGTCAACATACCTTCTATGCGAGGTTCCTTCATCTCTCAAAACCCGTGGGCTGTTAGCCACCGTATGCAAAAGGATCTGAGCCATCTTAGCTTTCAGAAGGCCAGAACATTCACATGGAATCCGTTGACAGCCGTACAATACGACTGTAAAGCATATCCATATCTGGAGGTTGGAACTTCGATACTCGTCCTGTAAAATATGTGACATGTGGGCCTTCTGGAATGAGTTTGCCTTTTTGGATGATGAAACAAAAGTCAACCCAGGGGAAAACCACTATTTGGAGGGCCACTCCTTGGGCAAGGGCCGAAGTAAGCTGATCAAACATGGGGACAGAAAGTCTAGGCCAATTGTCATGAATGCGAACAACTCATTGGGAAGATCTGAGGCATACAACCAATACATGAGCACTCGTGCAAGCAAAATGCAGCAAGGCCCGCGGCACGGAATTGGCCTAGCTTGCATTTCATCCTCTTGAATTAGTTCATTTCTATGATTGTTGGAAAAGGGGTAGGGGTTTCCTGTGCTTGCAAGAACCTACGTGTTTCATACGGATCCAGAACGAGGATAGCATCAGGATTTGTGCTGGGCTTGGTCACGAAAATCGGCCATGTGCCTCATGCATACACCGCCGGCCAGAACATGGCAAAGCCTTGATTTGTGCACGCCCCTCATCACCCAGCAAGAGCCTGCTCCTACGCAAAGCACTTCCCAGAAAACAACCATCAAAACCCTCAACATGCACATAGAGCATGTATTGTCATGCCATATAAGCAAAGAAACTAGGAGATGCTGCGAGAGGGATGCAGTGTGGGAGGCATGCGTTGGGTAGCAAAAAGCAAACAAACAAACAAACAAACAAACAACCAAACAACCAAACAACCAAACAACAAAACAAACAAACAAACAAACAAACAAACAAACAAACAAACAAACAAGCAAGCAAACAAACAAACAAGCAAACGACCAAGCAAACAAACAAGCCAACTATCAACCAAACCAAACCAAATCAAACCAAGCCAAGCCAAACCAAACGACACAAACAAACTAATGGACTAACTAACCAACCAAGTAAGTGATTATGGGAACTAGCGCCTGGTCGCCCGAATCCCACTCTTCCGCCCCCTCCTCCAATTCCTCCAACAGACGTTGCCTCAACGCGCATGCCTCCGAGTTCTGTAGGTCCTCTAAATCCATGCGCGCTCGCTCGCTGGCCGGGCGGAAGGGGCAAGGCACCGGCGCTTTTAAAGCGCGGCTCCCGGGCCCAGTCCGGTTCGCACGGCTCAGCGGGAAAAATGGCAAGCACGATCTTTTCGAGGACGTGATCTATTGCATAGTTTGAAGTTGCACACCTGGATGGATAAAAACATCGAATGCAGTTCTGGACTCGAAGGGTAAGAATGCTTGTCTAAGACAGTATACCATTGAAGGCTGAAACAATGCCGGGCACGGGCAAAGAATGACTGCATGTGTTTTGTGGCTCTCCCTTGGACCACTAACAAATGGATGAGAGGTTTTGGAACAATCCAACTGATCCGAACAAAACGTCAGCGACTGGCATTGTGGGACGGCCACCCGGCCACTTGTGCTGGCCACTTGTGGGACGGCAACCCGCCGCTTGGGGCGTTAAGATGTGCCTCTCTTGTTCTGTGTGACCTTTGAGCATCTGGAAGCTGCGCGCGGCCAAAGGGTGCCTCAGTGTGCAAGTCAGGCTTCGCCCACATGCCTTTGACTACTCGACGTTAATCGTCTGAGGTGAAAGCCATGCCAACATGAAAGCAACAACGCTGAAACATTGCAAATCCGATCTCAGACCAACAAGACACGGCCAAAGAAAAAAAGAAAAAACAACTGCCACGTTGCACAAAACACGCCGGAAGAGCAAGCTCTGAATCCTGTAGTTGTGCGTGTTTGGTGCCTGTGTGAGTGGACATATGAAACAACCTTTGCAAAGCGTTATGATGGATGCACCCTTGTCAGGGCCAGGGCTGCGCGTAAGTGTAAGCACGTTTTCAGGCATTGATTGGGGGGTGGAGCGCTTCGTGTCAAGAGACGGCAAGGTGACGTCCCGTGGGACGCTGTGCACCGAACCCTCAAGCTTTAATACCAACCACGTAGAAAGGTGTATACGGACGATGCCGTTATAGCCGAACCCGTGTAAACGTTGTAAGGAAGAAGGAATGATAATTACACCAGTGGTCCTGACAAAGCGGCGCAAGCAGTTGTTTTGCTCTTAATGCCGATCACGTAGGTCTGCAGTCACACATCAGATCTTGAACCTCAATTGTGTCTTGAGCCAAAATGGCGATCAATGGAACTTGGGAAGCAACACCAACAAGGACCTCAGAACAGCTACCCAATTTCGGCACGGGGCCTAGAGGGTTTTAACATCCCCCATTTGGGTCGCATTGTTCATCATGCGGTCCAAACACCACAAAACGTTCCACTGGCCACGGCTTCAACTACGAAATCGTGTCGTGCATTCTTTTACTTGCTATCACTACACCGTTCATTCGCTGTGAAACATGCCGGGTTCGATTGTACGAAAAGTGAAACATTCATCCTCCAATCGAAGCACACATCCATATGCAGGTGTATATAATACACTGTCGCGTCATTGACCACCAATGAACAATCCAGCTGCCGCGTTTGCGCATCGCGCAGCTGTCATCCATAAATGGGTTGGCCGAAAAAAGTCCACCAGAGCGCCTGCTTGCAATCGGTCTGCATATCTCCGGCAAAGAAACATCGGTGAGTAATCAATGCAAATCATAGCCATTCCAGATACCATGGACAATGCATAAATAATGAAAAGATATCATCTATAAGGTAATAGTTCCATCCATGAATATCCAGAGCGTCATAGTCGTCGGAATATGTAACCATGTACACACCCAATCATCTTGGACACATGAATATAAATCATGATATAAGTCGTTCCACCGAAACAGTGTCGATGTGATGCAAGTAACAGATGGGGACTGGCCCACATCGTACCGCAATCATCATCTTCACGAAGCATACCTGTCCCCAATGGACAGCCTATGGGTACGTCGGCGGAACTCCTCGTCCAAGTTCTTCTGGGCTTCTCGTGCCCGGACACACTTCTTGTTGTAGTCCTCTGGCAACCAGTGCCCTTTCCGAAGGCACCAAACCAGCAGGGGTGTGTCGCATTTGTTCGGGTCGACGGCCGAGATGATGGCGCTCACGTTGACCGTGTAACCATGTTTGCCAAGGTTCAGGCCATCCCTCACGAATGATAAATACTTACAGTTGAAAGCTAGTGCAAAACATCTGAAAATAATATCACCCACCGGGTGCACTCGGTCCTTGACCAGGAGCTTCATTTCTTCCTTGGTGACATCGAGGATTCTTGCTGCAATCCACAGCTTGTAGAATGTGTATAGTCCCTCGCATTTGTTCACCATCATACGAATATATTCGTCACGCTCCTCAACCGATCGGAAGGCTCTTGTCCGAACATTCTCCGATTGAGAAATCTTCGTCATTGTTGATGGCAAAAGTATACCTTCCTGATCATGCTCAGTGATGTTGGGGTACCTCTTGAAATCATTGTGATAAGGGCAGCCCGGATTCCCTTCGAGTCCGGCATTCATCGTTCTCTCCTCACCACCTTCAAACATCCCCCACATCTTGGACAGCTGGAGTGCGATAAATCCTGCCATGTACTGAGCCTCACGCGGCTCGTCAAGGCAGATCGCCATCCGCTGGGAACTTATAATGTCCCGTGACGTCAGATCGGTGTCGCGGTAATGCCAACCGCCGTCTTCTTCTTCTGACGCATAGCCGGATGTATATCCTTGCGTGTCCATGTCGTCATCTTCTCCCGGAACTTCCTCCGCTTCGTCCTCATCCTCCTGTGCTGCCGCATCGTGGGTAGCTTCTTCCTGTGCACGCCTGGCATCTCCAGAGACGTTGGGGTTTTGGTTGTCCTCCTCGTCATCGGATTTGATGTGAATGTAGTATCTTCCGATGGAGATCAGTTGTGCCTCGCACTCCAGGCATAAGCAGAAGCAGGTGGGTATCGCGGTCGCACATGATGGACATATCCGGCACCTCAGTCCTTCCCATGTCTCATCATTCAGGATGACGACTTTGCTGATTTCGTCCCGGACCTCGTTGACCTGTGCATTGAACTCTTCCATCTTGTTGTTTCGATAGAGTTCGCAAGCACGATTAACCATGTCAACGATGTAGTGCAGATTATCGGCACCTGTCTCAGTCTCCGGCATCCTCTCGCTGATCTTTGCGACGTTCTGGAGGAACATCGCAGCCGACTCTTGGGAAGAGGTGACAAAGCCAGGGCAGATCTCGTTCTCCACACACTTCGAGTACGCCCGCTTGATGTCAGCGTACTCCAGGCGCTTCCCTCCATTGCTTTTGCCAATCCAAATGGACTTGACCTCATAGAACGGGATCACGTCAACGACCATGAAAGTCCCATTAGCCGCGACTCCAGCCCCATACCGCGCGAGGGTTGCACTGGGAATATAGATGATCGCAATCGGATCCCCTCTCCTCACGTTCCGTAGCGTTGTCTTCGTCGCCACGTTCAACTCATCCCATGGAGCAAACGCCCCGAAGTGCAGTGCTAGCCTGTTACCGCCATCGATTCCGCCGGGGACTAGCCCACAGCGTACGATGCTTGGCAGGTTTTCCACATACGTCACATGGAATGCTCCTCCGAGAGTATCACCCATTCTTGCGGAATACCTGTTCGCCAGTGCGGATGAGCTCATGAATCCAAAATCACTGTGACCGGTTGTGACTCGGATGCACCAAGGTCTGTACCATCCATCGCATCTGTTGAACATCCTGTCGATGTCGTCCCGATCCACGCCAGCCGTGTTCATTTCCTCTCTGGCTGCCCTCGTGTCGTTCGGGTTCATGATGCTCGGAAACCTTGCTGCCAGAACCTGGAATCTCGACTTCTTGCTTCCGGATTCCTGCCACTTGATCACCTCCATGATGCCCATGTATCGTTTCGCTCTCGTGGTTTATGGTGGGAATATGTCGTTGTTCCGGTCGTCAATGACAGCATCAATGTCGACCCATCCACCCTCGTCGCACCTGAAAGCACTTCCTCGGCAATTGCCGATCTTGTGTCGAAGGACTCTGCATAGGTCGTGAGATAGCTGGTTTGCTTTGTCCCTTGTAGTAAATACCGAGCGATCATCACCAATCCTGCATAGTGGAGCACCGTCGAAAGGAGCAATGCAGAAGTTGACACTCTTGCCAAGCTGCATCACATCCACTTGCTCAAGGATTGCACCTTTGGGAAAGTATTTGGGGTCAACGATGGACGCATACGCCCATGGCAAGTGCACATCACTCACATCGCCATACTTCGGGATGTAGCACGGGATGGTGTCGCATCCCATCACAAGCGTCTTCTTGAATGTCCTGTTGTCCCCGCACGGGTTGTAGGTGAGGTCGACGCCACCACATTGTAGCTCTCCTCCCTCAGCCGTGTCAGCCATCTCCACCAAATTAATGGTGTAGCTGTACATCTCAATTGTTTCTTTCCCTGCTTGTCCCCCTTTCTTTCTTTCCTTGGACGTTGATGAGGTCGGTTCCTCCGCATCCCCCATGTCTTCATCAGATGAAACAGGGTCACTGCTGAGTAGCTCACGGAGCACCTTCATCGCCTTCTCATTTCCAGCAGCCTCTTCAATGTCCTTGCAGTCGCCGTCGTGGGCTAGGTTCGCGCACTTCTTACAGATCCCCATATCTCCCATGCACTTCTCCATTGACTCCAGGAATCCTAGTGCCGCTCTCCGCCCGTCGATCACTCGCTGCTTCTTATCTTCCTTCTCAGCATTGGGCTGAGAACTTCGACTCGGGTCTGGTGCTTGACCAAGACCCTCATCTTCGCCCTCCGTGGCCTTTCTCTTGTACCCTTGTGCAGAGGGCTCGGTGATCAGGGATCGTGGATGTCTGGGCTTGACCTTGTTCATGATGTCAAGCACCTCCTTCGTGGGCACGCCGAGCTGTGCGGACGGTCTTTTCCGCTTTCTGTTCTGGCCCGTCGTGTGGGTCACGTTCCCAGCGAGGTGTCGCACTATTGACTGCTCGAACTCCCTCTTGATCTTCCATGCATCCTTCCACAGTGGCAGTTCGTGCTGGAAGTACGACATCACCTCAAAGAATCCCAACACCACCTCGACGACGTCTCCCAAGGATTCCTCGTTCGTGGTTTGTCCCAGGAGTTCATACATCGTTCCTTGGTCGAGCACACTCTTGATCCAGGACGAATATGCCACATTGCCAAGATCCTTGCCTATCAAGAAGAT